TAAAGTAATCTAAAGTGACAATTTATTTTTACTTAAGAATATACAGGTATTTCCTGGAAAAAAAATTTTTTGCTTAATGAGCACTGTGGGGGGGAAGAGGCGTGTCAAAGTGTCAAATTTGAAACACTTAGCAGAGCTTGAAGGATTATAATGTAATAATGATTGTTGTAAAAGTGTCAACAAAATTATTTTCTATCATTTTCTTCTGGTGTGGTAAAGAAAATATTTATTTTTAAAAATTTTTTATTTTTCAAATTATCATTTAACAGAATTTTGTTTCAAACAAATTTTTAATTGGCAAAATTTTTAGTTTAGAAATTTCTCTTCACACAGTTTTTTTTTTTTTATTTAAAACAATTCTATAATTTAACCGAATTTTTAAATGTCAGAAATTCTAATTTATCGAATTTTCAATTGTCCGAATTTTTATTTGATAGAATTCTTAAAACGACGAATTTTCATTTTGTTCAAAATTGCAAATAATCAAATAAGAAATTGACAGAAAAATTTCGACGCGAATTTTAAAATTATTATTAAGAAATTCTTAAAAATGAAAATTCTAAACAAACAATAAAAAAGAATTATTTTCTAATATTGATATATCGTGAAAACGTAAATATTATTTTATTCTATTTTGAATTTTTCGAAAGATTTTATCAAATCTAGCTACTATTATTTTTTTTCCTCTCTCTCTCTCTCTCTCTCTCTCTCTCTCTCTCTCTCTCTCTCTCTCTCTCTCTCTCTCTCTCTCTCTCTCTCTCTCTATATATATATATATATATAGGGAAAGAGATGAAAAGTTTCTATTATTCAGACCATCATCACCTTGATTTGTGTGCATTCATATATATGTATAGTTTTGCAAATAAACATGAGATTCGGAGTACGGAAGCCACAAGTGGTACGTAAGCGGTGCGAATAAGTGGGCTGATAGATTGTGCGAGAGGAGGAAAGGTTTGGGTAATGAGGGAAGAGGATAGATGTTGAGCGGATCGAAGAAAAAGCGAAGAGAGAAAGAGAGTGCGAGTGAGTGAGAGATAGTACATACAATAAAGTCAGTCCGACAATGGGATACTACGGGTGGTCTTTGTGATTCAAATCAATGTTTGCGATATACTCGATGGCAGTGAATTGCATTGTGGTCCTAGGTTTACATACGTTTAAACATCGATACATCGTGTCACATCTTACATTGCTCTTCTCCTTCATTCATGTGTGTCACATACATATATATCCGATAGTATAGCTTAGCTTCAAAATAAATACAAGGAATTTCAAATTTCTCCTTTACTCCTCCAATTTTTGATATTTACATCCAATCAATATTATACTGTAAATATATAGTATCATTGCTATATCAATTCAGAACATATTTCGAATTTGACCCTAGCTCTGAAATTAGCTCTAAATATTATGATACCCTATTTGAAATTGACTATCGGAAAAAATTACAGCTACAATCATTCTGAATGTTTTGTAACAAAAAATTAATCATGCCACACGTTGATTAGGGATGCAATTTTCTTTTCCTTTTTTTTGGCCTATATATTGGTGAAATGTTTGGAATCTCGTGCGTGAAATGAACTCTCTTCTAGCAAAGTCGACAGTCGATAACAATGGTAGACGTGAAAGAATCCGCAGGCGTGCGCATTGCCAACAGGTGATTCCATTGGGGTTCTTTTAGCTTTCGAATGACGATGCACGAGAGGAAAACGAAGAGAGAGAGAGAAAAGAGGGAGTGTGTATATGTGTACCAAGAGGGATGGAGATACAGAATAAAGTAGAAATCAGGGGCTGATGGTGGTGGAAAGGGGTGGCCAACAAAGTCTTTATATATCGACGAGGACCGATTACAAAGCTCGATTGTTGCCATTCTACCGATTCTAACACGGGAAAATAGTTTTTTGCTGTTGTAGCAAATTTCATTTTACCGCTTCTATGAAACAAAGAGAAAAAAAGAAGAGAGACCTATATAAATTTTTGTTTCCTTCAAGAAAGTTCTCAAATATTTCCTATTTCTCACAATTGGTTTCATCTCTTATTATTTTTGCAAATTTTATAAAGCCAGGCAAAACATGTAAAAAGTAGGAATTATAATAATACAAAAAAACTAACAGAAAAATCGATATTATAATTGAAAGGCAAAACGCAAGTCAATGTGGCGCACGATTTGAAAAAAAAGAAATTGGTACACTGTGAAGATGTATTGAAATGTGTTGAGAATAAAGAATTCAAGTTCAATGTCAATAAATATAAATCTGAAATTGAAACGTTTATCTTGAAATGTACAGTTTACATTGTGTATACAATCTGATTATAAGGCAATTGCACATTATAAAAGAGCTTGGGTGCGATATTGAAACGATATGAATGAGATTGAATACGAATGAATGAAATTCCATTGGGTGTGCGTAAGACATTGTGCGGTTCGTTTTTTTTTCCTTTTTTAATGTTTGTCAACAGAAAATCAAGGATGTATATATATGTATATACCTCGAAATATTCACCTGTTACACGAACTTTTCTTTATTAAAAAGACTACATATATTCGGTATTATGTACGTGTTTATAAAAGCGATCTCATGACCACAGGTTTCACTATCGGGACAATGCCATTATTGTTGGCCAACAATACGCATTGAGCATTGAACTCTACGACCTTTATACCACGTAATCCGGTTACACGCACTTTACACGCCATAAAAAAAAATCTGTCATACTCAACAATCATATGATACGATTACTAATTTCTCGATAATCTAAACACTTTGTTCGGGACAATTGGCAATATTGAAAAGTTAATTCTCAGATACTATAATCGGAGAAATAAGGTATATACCTTATTTTTCCAATTATATAGTATCTGACTTAAATTTTCTAATATTTTTTTTTCATTTTAAACACAGTAAAAAGAAAGTCTTATTTTAAAACAAAAAAGGTGTTTTATTTTAAGAGGCAATAATTTTAAGACAACCCTTGTTGAATCTAAGCAATGGATTTACATGCAATTTAAATTTAAATATACATTATGGCTAGAATTGCTGAATTTAAGACTGGAAATTTTCAAAATTTCTTTGCAATTAATTTTTTTTCCAACATATTAAAAGTTGGTAAAATAATTAGAATAACCTTTTAGCAAATATTCGAATTTCTTACCTTTTGATCAGAAGATGAGATGCAATATTTGATGAGGAAAGCAGGACAAACAAATAATCCTGAAACATATAAATAAAAGAGAAACGGTTAAATTTATTCTAAAAGGGAATAAATTTTTGTTATACAATCCACACTCAGCAAGTGGGATATTTATACACAAATACATTTCATGGCCACAGTAGTTTATATATTACAGTATATGTATGTATATATATGAAGCAGGTGAAGGCAAAAATCAGAAAATGTTATATAATAAAATTGTGTACGCGGCAAACAAGAATTTTCAGGTAGGTCAGCCAATTTTTTTTTCTCTCGTTCAACATCTCAATTTTTGTAAATAAAAAAACCTTTTTTTATTGCCACTATTCCCGTGACGAGTTACGTTTTTTAAGGTCATAGCCTATATATGGGCGCGGTTTAGAATTTTCGGATTTGTATACATATATATATATATATATATATATATATATATATATATATATATATCATATAAAAACACTTTATGACTCTCTCTCGCTCTTCCTTCAATCCTTTATGGTTATTTGGGACCAATAAAATTTACGAATTTTCTGTTAAAAGGTGTAAATCCTCGTCCGTAGAATTCAATTTAATTAGGTTATAAAACAGTTTCAGCACAGTAGCTGCAGCATTAGAGAGAATTTTTTTTCTAAATTAGTGCGCGTCAGTTGAAAATTTTGTAACCATTGCATTCATAAAGTTTCGTTTATCTTCACCAGCAAAATATCCTTGTAGCAATAAACATTTTTTCCAAATACAATTTAAAATTGAATTATTTTCGCCGAATGTATTATTTGTAAATGACAAAAGCTATAATCGAAAATTAACTGTTTTAAAAATAGTTTCGTATAGTTCAGAAATGGTGAAGAACATATGTTCGGTAATTTTTGAATTGGAAGATAAACAATGTTTGGTACTATTAAAAATGGTGTAGATCAAGTTCAGAATTATTAAAAGTACTGCAGAACTAGCGTTGAACTCATTCACCTCTGTTTTATTGTGTACAGAACTAGTTCAGTACTAATAAAAAGGCTCAAATTAAGTTCAGAATTATTAAAAGTGCTGAAGAACTAGTGTACAACTCATTCACTACATTTACACAGATCTACTTCAGTACTTTTTTTCATAAGTATAGAAGTATACAATTGGGGTAGAAAACCATCCCAAACTTATTTTGTTGCTAGAATGTTAATATTTAATGCAAAATAACTTTATTATATGTCGTTTTCTTTGTTTTTTTATAAGAAGAATAAGGTAGCGTTTCTTGTTATTTTATAGAAACAAAAATATGGTGACAAAAACACAAAAAACAAAATATGCGCCAAAAACCAAAACCAGCAAAAAATGCTGAAGTTTGAATTTTTTCTGGAGTAGTTTTTTACCCCAATTGTATTTTCTAGGGTTAAAATTGGTGTAGAACAAGTATTATTGTTAAATGTATTATTAAAAGTAACAGAGAACTATTACAATATAGGTACTATCAAAACTTATCCAGAACTTGTTCAGTATTATCGAAACTAATTTATAGTACAGTCACTACTGCAAGTTCACCATTGTATTAAGCGCACACAAATAAAAAAAGAAAATAATTGATAAACACAATGAGTATAGGAAAAAAAAAAACATTTATAGACTTCCCGTTGTAAAATCGCTTTTGTTACATATATCAAAAAATGACATTAGAAAGAATAATTCCGATAAATATGTATATATATATATATAGTTTGGCATAATCGAATAACGATGAATACAAAAAACCAACAAATCTCAAAATATTCCCCTATGTTTATCAGCACTTGTTGATGCCAGAACAATTTATTTTACAGAGAATTCTTCCTATGAGGTGAAAAATCCGAGACGAATGTAAACGTTTAAACAAAGGGAGATTTTTTTCTCCCCCTCCTTATGATTGAGAACCACTGTGTGATCGAAGGGCCCTATTTTTGCAGAGAGTTCCCGCAGGCAAGCGTAAGTCCCTTTGCTCCACATATATATATGTATATATATATATATATATATACATTGAAGTTTTCAAATCCAGTGATATAAAGAGGGGGGCCCTATTTTCAACGAGGGTATATATGTGTATGGGATATATAAGGGAGAGAAGTTGCGCGCGCGGGGTATTGAAGGGAGAAAAATCAGAAAAGAAACGAGGGGGGTTTCTCATGTGTGTATGTGTTCGAGTATAGACCACGCATATACGTATGAGGGTTCCCGGTATTTATTGCGGGGATGCGTGCAAGGCACATATTATTTGTACCGCACATAATTCAAGTAGGTCGTTAAAATTATTTTATTACTTGTTCTACATAGCGCTTTCACGATGCGCTCCCGTATTTTTTTTTTTTAAGAGAGAGAGAGAGAGAGAAAAAAATGAAATAAATAAGCGCCTACCTGTAGGTCTCAAATCACCTTTCATGGGACATTAAATAAAATTTAAAAAAAATTAGGTCTCTAATAATTTTCATCTTTGCGCGCGCGATTTATATCCAGTGCTGAAATCTATATACAATTTTCTGGGAGCTCTAAAATCAAAAAACAAAAATCTCGAAAATCTTTATATAAATATGTGACGCTTCGCGACAAAATCCAGACAGCACGTAAACTTGCGGCAAGCTTGCCACGCAATATTGCCAATGTCCCATCTAACGCTTGCCGAAAGATTGCAGTGTAAGGTTACTGCAAGATTGCATGATAAGATTATCGCAATCACAAGCATACTTACGGCTGCGCAGTAAATTTTTTTCACCTCCCAGAAACTAATGCTCAATGTATGTACAAAAATAAATTTCCTCCCCCTCCAAAATATTTGTTGTTATATTCCGCAAGCTTGCACCAAGCTTACCATAAGGTTGCCGAGCAAACTTGCATGGAAGGCTTGCTGCAAGTTTGCTGCAACCTTCTGTGCTGATTGGCAAGGTTATTTGGTAACCTTGCACCAACCTTGCGACAAGCTTACTGAGCAATCTTGCAGTAACCTTACACTGCAATCTTTCGGCAAGCTTATTATGCAAGTTTAGGTTAGATGGGACATTTGAAGCTTGCGGCAAGCTTACGTGCTATCTGGGAAGGTATCTAAGCTTCCAAAATTGTTAGGTTATATTTAGTGATAGTTTTACATCAATGAAAAGTTCTTTTTTAATTAAGCACAAACAAAAATAGATTTTATTGAGTACTTTAGATGTAATAAAGACTTAAACATCAATAGTTTATGTATAAAAAGTTGATCCTCTCTGAGTATTTTCACTTCAAAAATCAAAAATATAACCTAAAGTTTTTTGGAGCTTAGGTATACCGGTATATCGATCTCTAATATTTTTATGTCATTTTTATGTACTATTTTCATTTTATGTGTTTATTCTCAGTGAGAACTATATATGATTCTCTTTTAGGTGGATAAGGGTGAAAAAAATCTCTCTCTTCCCAAAAGAAAAATGTTCTTTTTCGCGTTTCTTCTAATTATATGTTGATGAGTCTCAATGAGAAAGAAAAGATACACATATATATATATAATGAGATAAGGTCATACAAAATCGTCAGGGCGTGCCGCTAATTAAAAGAACGACGAGGTGAGACTAACGAGGACAATTAAATGGTGTCTATAATATGTTGTAGCTTCCATAATTGTATGTAATTGCGGTTATATATATACTCCATGGGAATAAACACACCCTCTGAGAATTGAGTAGAACAAAAAAGGATTCTATAAACTCTTTATACTTCTGATATCAAAAAGTGTTTTAATTGTTAGCTAATTTATTTTATTAGTTACTTTTATTCATATATATATATATATATATATATATATATATATATATATATATGAATAAAATCAAAGTTTTAATAAAGTAATTTTATATTTTATTCATTGACAAAAAAGGTTTGTGTTGACAACCAAATGGTTGACAAAACCATAAGAAAAGTAAAGAAATTTTTTGTCTTATTCAGTTGTGCTTTTTTACATATATATAGGTTATGTTGCTTATTATGTTTCTTCTTTTAATAAAATATAGAGATTAAAATTATGAAAAATTTGATCCATGGAAGGTATATAGGAATAATTATTTCTATCAAATAATGGGGTAACATAACCCATAAGTAAAAAAAAATATACGTTATTTTATAGTTTTTCACGGCAGATATATTAATTCACATTTAATTTAAAAGTATTCAAATTAATATGATTTGGATCAATTAAATACTTTTAGTATCAATTTGATATTACATTTTCAAAGTTAACTGCGAATCAAAATATTTTGTTGATTGTATAAATTTTTAGTATAGTATATTGTGAATATTAAATTTAATCTAATATTAAATAATGTATAATTATAATTTAAAATAATATTCAATATTTATGGCAAATGTGTATAAATTTCCTTATTATAAAGTTGCACTATATATAAAAGAGGGATTTTGATTTTTGTTATCCAATTTTGAGAGTAAAAAAGGCTGCACGTGCACGTAATGTGTACTGATGCAGTGGATGATTTGCATGCAATTATAATCCACTTCCATTGATCAAGTAAGAAAGGGCTGATTTGCACGAAGCGACAGGAAAAAAAAGGGTGACAAACGAAATGTAAGGTCTTGTTTTGCACATACGATGACAGACGAAACGATCTTGTGCGAATGTACATCTATAGAGAAAGAGAGAAAGAAAGTGGCGTGACGAGTGTATGTCACAAACTACTTTTTTTTGACACTCTTTTTTTCTTTCTCTCTCGAAAATGATTCTCGCCTCGAGGTTACTCGTGTGAGTAATTTAAATTCGTATCAATCTCATTTATGCCAATTTCATGTTTGGGAACCTAGAGCCCTTTTTTTAAGCGCTCAGAGAATATCTTTTTGCTGCCGGTTTCTCTTTCTCTCTCCCTTACTCTTATATTGTCCTCTCGGCAATGTCGACGACAACGTCCCACATCTTGAAGGAATAGATTTCGACGCGACACGTATCTCGCACTCTATGGCATGGCGCGACACACACGTTTCGCTCGCTAAATTTTCATGACAATTGCAAAGGGCGTCGCCATTCAAAGACGTCTGCACGCGAGCAGACGGGTCTCTCTCTCTCTCTCTCTCTCTTTATTTCTTTTTTTCTCTTTCTTTCTGGCTTATAGTTTATATACAACCGGCAAAACTAAATGTATTTGACTCATTTACTTGTGTATTATATACATATATAATGAAATATTTACATCTTTCTTTAAATAGTTATATGAAGAAAAGAGGAGTCACACTATTCAGTTTGGTAATTTTGTTGTCATTTCATCTATTATATTCTAAAAATGATATTTGAAACCGGTATATATCAAATAATTGGTCGATTATTCATACTTTATAATAAAATACCTAAATGCGAACCGCAGCCAAACTGCACCTACGAATTTTTTATACATATATTCATTTCATGAACTCTCTAAATTTGAAATAATAAATATTTTAACTAATTATTCAAATTTAAAGAGAACACGCTTTGTTTTCTCCTGGAGATTTTTTTTTTTACCAATTTATATATACCATAAATCATTTGGTATTATTTTAACACCAAACTGGATTAAAATAAGATGGAACAATGCTCTTTGATTCATTTTGAAGATTAAAATAATCCATGCAAAGATTAAAATTGGAAAATTTCAAAAAATCGACTTAGAAACATTTATTTTTACCAAATTGAAAAAAAAAATTAAATAGATTATACATTAATTTTTTTAATTTATTATTGTAAATAGTAATTTATAATTAGTTTAGTTAAGTAAATTTTAAAAATAAAATCTTTTGTCTTAAACAATGTTTATATAACAATCAAAATGATAAAAAAAAAGAATATCATTATTTAATTTTTTTTTTCGTTTGTTTGAAATCTAATTGAAATATGTCTTTTTAATAGAGAGGGAATTATTTTGAATTTCGCTCAGATGAAAAAAAAAAGTCAAGAGGCAAGTTTGAGGGGAAAAGTCGGTAATGAAATAAGTGTACATGTGCATAAAAAGGAAGATTTCTTATCCCCAGGTTTACCTGTCACCTCGATGACGATTCTGACAAGGGTATAACCGACCCTTTGTCGCGAGAAACGACGTTCTTGTCGTGTATACAGAATGAATATATATATATATATACAAACTCATATACGCAGAAACGCAATCACCTTCTCTCTCTCTGATACACATATATTCGTTCATGTGTATATATGTACGCAGAATATACAGTGTATATAACCATATATATACATAGTACTCACTTGGTCGGCCGATAACTATGCAAAAAGAAGTTTTCTTCTGAACCCTATTTGTACTGGTTCCCGCGTAGAATATAAACTTGACTACCTGACAGGGCTCATTAATATATAATTCTGAGAAACGTTATGTCGATTACCCACTTTCAATACTCTAATAAAAAAGAAAAAATGGAGTGATTTTTGACTGCACTATATATATATATATATATAAGAATATTAAGAATGTGAATTTCAATTACCTTCGCTCCTTTTTTTCTTTACTTTCCAGTTTGGATCATTGAGCTTTAAGAAGGGTGACAGATTTTATCCTTTTTCTATTTTGTTACCTTGCAAAAATATAAGTCAGTCTGATTTCGAGACTTGAGGCGTTTACGAGTCAATGTCACGATATGAAAGGTTTTAGATTTTTATCGATAATTGGGATCGCGGGACAATAATTGGAAACTCTCGTGTTGGTATAGCAAATTATAAACATGTGTCTCGTTATGAAATTGTTGACCCTGTAATTAGTAATTGATCTTATATATAAATATATATTACGACTTTATATATATATATATATATTTCAAATATACGAATTTTAAGTAGGCAAAAAATCCCCATTCTGCAAAAACTTATAGTAATTCATTTTTGCAAATGTATAACAATAATATACTAATCTAAAAATTACAGCTAATTTCTCTGGTATTTTCTAATTATTTATAATTTTATACTAATTGTTTTTCCT